AAATAAGAGCTCATTTTGAGGCGTTTGCTTATCCTGGTCTCCGATCGATGTGTCCCCATCATTCATTCTTTGATGCGTGTTTGTTTTCGTTGACTTCGTTCAACAGTTCATGGAAATGTTCATAACTTCGGCAAAGAAATACACCGTTTAACTATCTTGTGGTGATTCGTTGTGGAATAGAGACGGCAAAACTGTTTCAGCGGCTACAATACTATTGTGGGGAATGGTTATTGTAGTTTAAAAATGGCATTCAAAGACGGTTTCTCTGTGACTCTAGGTTCTTAGTCCTATTTAAATTTGGTAAATTTTTTTACTTTTAATTTTATTTTACTATTCAAATATCTACTTTTGAAAATGTTGATGGATTATTTCTCATATTTATATTTTAATTATTTTACTCTTGAATAGTTTATAACTTGCAAAAATCAAAGACGAAAAGACAAAATTTGATCACTCCATTTAAATAATAAAATTAAATTAAAAACGTTATTACAAAATCATTTATATAGAAGTTTATCAAATATTTATCTATTGTACTCTTATATTTTTTTATATATTTTTTGATTTTAAACTAAATTATATCACATATATTCAAATAGTTAAATATTTATAATTCTATTTAAAGTAGGATTACATTTTACTATTTACCAAATCAATTTTAGCAAAAAAATTTTTTTTACCAAATCAAGATATTATTATTTTTAAATAGATAAATATTTTGAAATGTGGCTAACTCTAATTAAAAAAATATTTTATACTTGTATAAATCTAACTGATTGACTCAAACATGCCTCGATAAAATTCATTACTTTATATAAAAATCCCATTTTACTTTTACCATTTAAGTAATTATTAAGCTAAAAAAACCAACAAAAATTAGAAAAATAAATTACGACGCCTCATATCAATGTTGTCAACAACTAACAAAAAATCGAGTGAGAATGAATCATATTAAGGTCAAAAAACTAATATATATTGCCGTATTCTATTTCACATATCGAAAAATATAATAATCTATCTTTTCTAAATGAAAATCCAAAACAAATAAGTTTTATGAAAAATATTATTGAAGTTTTAAGAAAAATTTCAAAAAATACCACTTTTCAAGTGCCACTTTACAAAAATGCCACACTTTTGAAGTTCTTTACAAAAATGCCACTTTTTCAAAATTATTTTTTCTTTATATTATTTATGTTTGGGTTAATTATACTCTATTAAGGTTTAGTTTTGAGTGTTTAAAGAGTTTTAGGTGTCAAAACATTTTTTAGGGTTTAAAATTTTAAGATATAGGCTTTATAAATCTATAATTACTGACATTTTTGTAAATGGACACCTCTAAGTGGTATTCTTGCAAATGTGCACACAAAAAGTGACATTTTTGTAATTGCCCCAAGTTTTAAATTGCGTAGATAGCAGAGAGCATATAAGTATGTAAATAATTGTGAAAATTTGAATATTTAAAGTTAAATCTATTCAAACTAAAAAAAAATTACATGTATATTATAATATTCTAATAGAAAAATGTATTTGATTTATTGTTTTATCTATTTCTATTTAAAATTAAAATATCTAATTGATAAATGCAAATAAATAAGTTTTTATTTTAAAAAGCTATTTGACATGTGGC